GTCTTTTCCCTTCTCTCTCTCTCTCTCTCTCTCTCTCTCTCTCAGTGGAGCTCTCCAGTTTGTCTCTATGTATGACCAACTCCAAGCTAGGCGAGCCTTGCTTCTATGTCATTGGACGGACAGAGAATACGCGGTTGGTAATGGTTCCTGTTAGTTCTCCTATTTTCTGTCTCTCTACATTCCTCTACTCAGTCACCACTGCTGTCTTCACTTGTAGAGAAAGATACCTTACAGCCTGTGTGTTGGACATCCTCATTGTAAGAAAATCTTGATTATCAACTCAAATAATGGTGCAGAACTTTACAATGTTAAACTGACTTCTTGCCCAATTTAGTTTCCCTCAAACCTTCATTTTGAACAAACTTTGCCAGCTTCACAGCACATTTAAGGAAGAGAATTGCACTATTATGTGTGTATGTATGGAGCATACAGATGTGTATATCTGAAGGTTGCACTAAAATAGAAAAGCAGCTGTTGTTACACAAGCTGACTTAATGCACCTCTTTAATAACATATTACATAATGCTCTCTGCCAGAGATTTTGTTCCTTCTCTCTTTTACCTGCCTATTCACTCTGTTTTCTCTTCCTCTCTCCGTATAATGTGTGTCTAGGCCATGAGCACAGAATCACGTCCCCCTCCCCCCTGCATCACCCCAAGGAGCAGGGTTTGGCTGCAGTAGACTCCACCGGGCGGAAGGGGCACAGCTCCAAGCAGAAGAGGAGAAGCAGGTCTTCGAATGGAAGCGAGAGAGCAAAAGGGACTGGAACAAGAAGGAGAAGACAGGGCTCAGAGGGAGGAGGGCACTCGGGTTTACAAAGCCCCATCTCTGAGGAAGGAGAGAGGTCTGGGGAAGCCAGGGACAGGAGGAGGAGGAGGAGGAGGAGAAAAAAAGAGTCTCAGAGTTTACCCAGAGTAGCCCTCAGGACAGTGAGAGGAAGGAAAGCGGAGAGGGATAGTGGGAGGAGCAAAGGCAGAGAGAGGAAAAGTGGAAGCGTGGAGAGGGTGGCGAGAGCAGAGAGTGAAGTGAGTGAGCAAGAGGAAACGCAGGGGGTACCTGCTGTTGAGGAAAGGGTAGAAGAAAGTATGGAAGAGGTGGACGAGAGAGAAGAGAGTGAAGTGGATGTTTTCCTACCCATTCCAAGTCCTAACCAAAAGCTTCCCAGACCCAAACAAAGCTGGGAGGTGGCGTATGATAAAAACTGGGGCATAGCAGCAAACCACAGGGAACTGAGGAAAGAGAAGGAGTGGGAAAGGTCATGGGATGAAGATGGGGGTGAAAGTAGAGAGACAGAGCTGAATGAGGATCAGAGAAATGATGATGCACAGAGCGGGCGTGCCGAGAGGCATTTAGCAAGTGTTGCAACAGATCCGGTGTCACAGAGAAAGCCCTTCTCCTTCCTCACCTCCACACTGTCCGTAGAGCAACTGGGGGACGATGAGTCAGAGTCTGGAGGCAGCCATTCTGACAGCAGCGTGTCTGCTGCCAGCATCTCAGGCCTTTCTCTGGCCGCCGGTCGTGGGGCCGAGGTGCTGCCAGGCCCTTGGCTCATACCCAGCCAGCAGAGGGTGGCTCCGGTCGTAGAGGGGAACAGGCACCCTGGGAGGTGGACAGGACAGGGAGGAGGAAGAAGCGCTGTCTCTTGACTTTTAGCAGGAAGTAGAGCACGCAGACACTGAACGATACTGTATCAGATTCAGTCAGTATCACAATTTTAGACCTCGACTTGTTTTCTGCAGCTACCCACACTACCAACATTTTCTCTCAGTCACTTTGATATCAACAGTAGTATGAAATATTCTTTGTGCCTTTTTTATAGCAGACCTCTGGCTGATGTTAAATGTCGATATCACATTTTAACTTGTAAATGACACCAACATGGTAAGGTTATGTCTGTTTTTGCTGGCGAACAACAAAGACATTGGGTTTTTTCTTAGACCATGTAGCCCTCAGTATGTTTCACTTTCTTCTTTACATTTGCAGCATTTGTGAAAGATGTTTCCAGGACAACAAGGTATCAAACACATTGACTTCCTATCTCTCACCCACGTCTCTGCATCTCTGCATTCAAGCTACTTTAGCAGAAGTACCCCCTATGGTGCAAAGACTGCACAGGCACTCACTTATACCTCATGAAGATACTGAGCAATAATAATGCAATCTGTCCGAGACTATCAGCCATCCATTTCCACTGCGCCACATTGATCTGGCCTGAGAGGAAACTGTGTAACATGTCTGTACGATATTGTTTGTTTGATGTGGTCTCGACTTGTAATGTTATAAATGATATCACAGAACCTAAAATATTTAATTGTGAAAATGCAATTCCCCTTTGACAGCAGGTGTATAATCTATATTCTGTAAATATTTGTAGGAAAATAAATGACATAACCTATTGTAAATACAATACTAACTGGAGCCAGGCCCTGATTTCTACTGTAATGTAATAAGTCATGATAAATCTATATATACATGCAGTATATCTATATATTATATACAAAAGCTACTAATATTTATTATTGTGTGATGAGAATTTACGTGAAAAGTGGCTTTTGTGAAGGCTCAAAATGTAAACACAAACTAAGAACTATATTGTTATCTGCCCTATTCGTAAATGAATGTTTTGTAATATGCTGCTTGAGTGTGGATATGTTGTACTCTCCTTCAGAAGTCAGCAAAAGATGCCAAAAATATGCATCTGGTGTGCATATTTCAAGTACTGTTAATATTGTGTATGTGGGGTCAGAACAAACCCACTATCTAGATTCTAGAGAGTGCTGTGCACATCGTGCCACGTACAGTTGCCTTGGTAACATAAACCACTTCATCCTAACCACTGATTTTTCTTACTGTGAAAACCCTTTGCTCTGAGGTCTCTAATATGAGAGAGGTGGGCGGGCCGTTTAGTAATTTCAGTCATGCCAAAAAAAATGCCCTTACTGTAAGTCTACAAAAATAATAATCACAAGCTTCCGCAGAATCTGAGCTCAGTGTTGCGTCTTAGATGGCACATCATTTATTTTTTGTTCTCTTTTTTAAAAATTCTGTTGTGAAAAAAAAAACTAGCTAAATGGATACTGTGAGATGTTATTTTTCTATGAAATTATCTTTTTTGAAATACTCAGGTTTTCAGATATTTTGCTCTAGATAAGCCATTAGGAAGAAAAGCTACAAAGTGACTTCACACCATTTTCAGATTATTTAGAAATGTTTAAGCTATGTTATGTAGCCTATCATTCCTTATGGCAGCATTACGAGACGCAGACTGTTACAGCTGTTTGTAACCAGCCCATAACTATCTAAAGATTGATGCTATAAGTGAAGCCATTCCTTCATTTGTACCCATTTTGAACAAACCCACAGAACTGAAATGAATTGCTTGGTGAGCCCTGCCCATTGTTTGCATTGCTGTGCTGCCCAGAAATGGTCATACAGTGACCAAACCAACATACTTTATTCCCCAAACAAAGGCCATAAAGAGAGTAGCTTGGTAGCCTATATGTAAGACTTATTTTACAATGTTTGCTAATTTTCTTTTTTTAGACTTTCATTTCCTAAGAGGGATTATGGCTGAACTGTAAACACATTCTAATAAAACTCCAAATAAACTGCTGAACCAATTTCCTCAGTGGTCATGCATGTCTTTCCTTTTTTATTGCTTTTTTATGAACACCAGAAGAGCCACAGTATTGGACAGCAGATGGCAGCAAAATTATAGGCTATAGCATATTTAGAAGAGATGGGATTTGATGCTATCAAGGTGAGTGTGCGCATATATGTGTGTGTGTGTGAGAGAGAGAGATTTGAGATTATTTTAAAGACCCCATAAATTAGGCTATATATTCAGAAACGGTGAGGTGAGGTGTGTGCATGGGGTGAAAAATAGGAAATTAAATGATACACCAAGAGGGTAAAAATCTGAGCATTTTCCACAGATCAATTATTAAACCTGCTTTTTGTGAGAACATGGATTTTACATGTCCCATCTAATATTAGTGTCCTATACCGTACAGCAGAGCAAGCTCACCTGTGTGAGACGTATGCTACCATACACAGAAAGTAGCTGGTGAATTTATAGCCAGTATCTCAGTTCAGATATGAGCACTTAAGTACTGCCACTAAAAATAACATCGCTCTGAGGCCTGTCTTTCTCTCATGTTGTCTTAAGCCGCATCCTTCTGTTCGAGTCAGACGCAATAAGAAAATATCACCGCAGTGATAACAGCGCTGCACTCACAGGATGTGGAGTCAGGAAGGAATGGACTTAAATGAGCGGGCCTTAACTGTTCAAGCGACTTCAAATCAAGCTTATAGCCTACATTTCGATAGCAAAATGTTAAACAGATGTTCACTGTCTTACAGGCATTGCATTACAGTGTAATATTGTTTTCTACATTTGTACTCCGGATTCATAGGCACTCAACAGGGTTCCTGAAGTGTGGAAAGTTAGAAACAAAGGTGCACAATGAGACTCTGTTTGTACCTTCAAAATAAAATATCTGTCCGCTGATAAATAAAGTCTTTCTTCCATGGAGACATTTTCTAGAATAATTTGAAAGAAAATGGACTTTATAAAATTGTATCTATATGTAGACTGTCAAGTTATCTGCAGCCTTTGTTGAAAACTGCTCATTATTTGTTGCATCCCTAAATTGTGTATTCACCCAAATGATAAATTGGATGCTGTGTAGAGTAATTTATGAGAAATTACTATAATGGTGTGATTTGGGAAAAGGGGAAGGCGAGACTCATTTTCTGTTGAGTTAAATGATGATTTAAAAATGTCAAATTTCAATGAAATGGCTCAACAAAACATGAAAGCTTGTAGCCTATAGGCCTAACCCGCATTTATTCATTAGCTCGTCAGTCTAGTTGGGTTTATTTAGCTTTGTCTATAAAGGCATATGTTTTTCCATCTGTACTCAATATTTTGTTCATACAACTTCTCTTTTATTTTGAAACTGTAGGCCGGATGTCCAATATCATTGTGGCTCGCTTGACAGCGATGCGCTCAGAGGAAAAGACGCACGCATCGCTGCAATTCAGACGCTCAAGGAGCGAAACCTCTCCGTGTTTCTGCGCCACCGCAAAGAAGACTCTCCGCTGCACTCCCGCGTGGATTACCGACCTGACATTACGGAAACTCGTCTCAGATAAGTAGGAAATAAGTCAACCTGTTCGCTTTAACCGATTTCATATCAGCGCCGAAAGCGGCAAACACGAAAGTAGCCTACAGTTTAAAGATTTGGCACATCCTATTGAGACTTTCGGACTGTCAGAAATATTCCGGATAGTTGTTGGTCCTTAAGAGGTGACACGTTTTTATTTCCAAGACCAGTGTTTATGAATGCCTGTCGCGGAAGTAAACTCTGCATTATCCTCGGATGAAAAAGCCCAGAAACACACACACACTTTGGGAACTAATGTGAATTTAAAGCAGTAGGATGTAGTTCTGTCGGACCAGAGGGGAGGATTCGGACCTCAAGAATGAACTTCGTAAGCCACCTCTGCTTACTTTCTGTGCTATAAAGACACATCAAGCCATGGGTTGAAAGCGACGCTGATAGACTGCGGGGATACTCAACGTGGGAGGGAGCAGCATTCTCTGTGTTATGTAATGATTGACAGTGCCTGATAATTAGTGGTAGATCATACATAGCATCACCCCCTCCCCATTACCCCTACCCCCCTTCCCCTGAATGTTGAGGAGGCTAAAGAGTGCTAGATGTATACGAGATGTTTTATAATGAACTAAAAGCTGATAGCAGAGCTCTGAAGGTAATGAGCATGATTTGTCACAGGTCAGTGGATTAATTGATATTCTACTTGTTCCTCTGCATATTCTTTTGCTCAGAGCCGTCAAAGCAAGTTGGAGTTCATTCAAGTTCTTTGATCATCTTCATTTAATCTCAGTCTGTTTTTACATATTTAGCTTAATGAATTAATATTCATCATGATGCCCCAAGTTCTTGACCCGGTCCATGCTGATTTGCCATGGTCTTTCAAAATGACTATGACTTCAGAAAATCTGACAATCAACAGTGTCTTGAGCTTCTTTTTGAGCTTTGAACTCTTTTCTCGCCATTGCAACATTTTTTATTGCTATTAAGATGCTATGATGCTCATTTCTGCCCTCAGATTTGAGGATATGTAGTCATTCTGAACTTCTCAATCTCTGTGACTTCCTGTTTCTGAACATCTGAAGAAATTATTTAATCTTCAGTAGAGCCTTCATTGGTCCCTCCCTCCCCCCCACTCATCGGGGCTGGTGGGGGGGGTGGCTCTCGGCCCCACGGGGTCGAAACTTTGGTGGTGGCTGGTGGTGGTCATACCCCTACAGCCAGGGCTCCCACCATGGAGACCAGCCCAGAGAGCCCCAACCGGGCAGTGGAGTACCTCCTGGAGCTCAACAACATCATTGAGAGCCAGGCCAAGCTCCTGGAGACCCAGCGCCGGCGCATCGAGGAGCTGGAGGGCCAGCTGGACCGGGTCAGCCAAGAGAACCAGGACCTAAGGCAGGAACGCAGTCCACGGACACCTGGTTCGGACACCCCTGAACAGAACCACAACCACAGCCAGCCTTTGTCCCTTCCCGTCCATCATGGCAGTGGTGGTGGCGCAAGTGGCGGGAGTGGTAGCACATCGGCTGCTCAGGCGACACCGGGATCAGCCACAGCTGCAGGGCCCAGCAGGGAGAGGAGGACCCACACCAGGCTGACCCGAGGTCTCTCCTGCGGGTCCTCCACCACCGAGCGAGACCGGCTAGAGCGCACCGACAGCACAGACACCAACACCAGTTCCACCATACGCAGAAAGTAAGTTCTTCTCTAACACAGAAGCCTCCACTATTGGTTTTATTTTCCACCAGTGAAAGATGAGTGAATGATGGCTTTATGTCATTTTACAGGAATGTCAGTGATCTTCAGCAGATTGCTCTAAATTGTAGTGATGACCACGGTCCGCATAACATTCAATGTGACAGAACATTTATATGCTAAGCCCACATTATGACAGGCTGCAGCCTTTTTAGTCATCAGAGATAATCTTCACAGTAATGGGTCTAAACCTAAGAAGGGATGTCTTAATACACCACCATAAGGAAATATGCAGCATACTGGAGGATTATGGGTAGTGTGATAAGTGCTCAGGGTGTCCATTTCATCATGCTGTGTGTAATTTTGCCTGCAGAGAGTTTGATTTTTCTAATGATCACAGTCTGTTATATGAGGTGTGTTGGAGTTGCAGAGTAGAATGCTGTGGAAAACTTGAGTCCAGGCCGGAGGGTTATGGGTGTTCTGAAATTTCTGGACCAGTGAAACCCTTCTGTATGAAAAATCCACCCACCGTTTGCCAGAAGTGTGTTTTTCTTTTCCTCTTCTCTCCGAACTGTAGGCTGGTTCTTGTTTTTTTTTCTACCTCAAACTCAAGGCTGACCTGAAGTTAGAGAGCTGGAAACACAGCTTTGGCAAACAGCAAGTGCATCTGTCCTCGCTTTTTCTTAACCACGCATACAAACATACACAGAAAAAGTTGGCTTTTGTTCCGGAAGCATTAAGCTTTGTGAGTAGGCTGCAATTCATGTGAATAAGTACACAGTGAAATGTAATATATGGGTTCAGTCTTAGTGACAGAAACCATCGGTCCTTATGTATGTTATAACATTTCTCTACACACAATCATCTCAGCAATTATTTCTGGATGTTGCTCACTCTCTGTTTTATTATTGTCCCAATCCTCCAGAAATGATTGATTTAGACTTAGCCAAATCCCTTATCGATCCCCTCATCCCTATGGGTGACTTAGTCATTAGACAGAAGCACATATTAGTTATTTATGTAGGTGTTAAATGCAATGATGAATTGCAGATGTAGATCTTGCTGATCCTCCCTTTTTAACTCCCTGTAGCAGTTGAAGCTGACTTTGGATCCAGGCTCAGACAAGCGTATCATATGAAGTGTCACATTTAATAAAGAGTCACCCGCACAGTAGAGCCATATTGTGCCGGTCTGGCTGTGACTCAGCCTAACTCCAAACTGGCCTATTAGCTTAGGTCAGCAACAAAACCCTCTCCTCTGATGAAAGATCAGATAGGAACATGCATTTCTTCATCGTCAGTGCCTGTGACGCTCTACATATGGCTCAAATCAGAGGAAGAGACAGAAGGAAGATGTGGGAGTGGGGATGGGGAGAGGAGAAAGATGACAAGGGGGAGGAAAGTGACTGGGCGACCTTACACAGTGTGCCTCAGTCTAAAAGAGAAAAGGTGGAACACACACACTGATTTGCCATCTGTCAACAGAGTGTGTAAGGGAGGGAGAGAGGATAGGGGAGTCTGGGCCAGAGAAGGCAAGGCTCAGAGAGCTGCCTTTGTTTTTTCCAATTAGTTTTTGTTCCTCCAGCAGGAGTCTTCATCTCTGCCCTGTGCCCTCTATGCCTCACGTAACAATCTTGATTCCGGACAAGGAAACTGAATAAACTGTCCCCATTTTTTTTTTAGCCATGCGTGCAGCAACTGCATCAAAACAAAAGTCACTCCTCTCCTCTTCTTCCTCCCAGCGGTACGCTGTAAACAGCAGTCCCAAATGCTACCCTATTCCGTTCCTCTCCTCCTGTTAATGGCAGTGTGAACAATGTGAGTCTGATGCCTTGGGGTGGGGGGGGGGGTTGACATCAAGTTCCTCCACCAAGAAGCAGCAGGGTTGAGGGCATCGCCACAGCTCGCTGTGAGCGCGGCAGATGTTTTTTTGTTGTTATTTTGGGAGAGGTCAAGCAAGTGCATTTTGTATCAGCCTATGTATCTGTGTGTGTGTGTGTGTGTGTGTGTGTGTGTGTGTGTGTGTGAGAGTGTATCTCTATGTTATGTATTTGCTACTGTGAGTGCACAAAAAATGTGTGAAAGAGGGACGGTACACACAGAGTGCATGAGAGATTAATTAGTGTGACCAGTGTATAATTACCACTAGCCCAGGGGTGATAATTACTGCTGTGTGTGTGTATATGTGTGTGTGTGTTTGGTGTGTGCGCATTGTAGGATCTAACCTGCTATGCTCGTTAGACAGCTAACGTGACACGGCGATGCAGGCTGTCATGTTATGATGATATGACAGTTCTCTCTACATGGGTGAGAGATTGTGCCCTTCATTATGTGCTACGTATGCAGCTGTTCTCATACAGCTCATAGGATGAGAGGCAGGGTCAGCTAAAGGCCCTGGCAACAGCTCCAGTGGTGCTGACACTCAGAGCAGTATTATTATATAATGCCAAACAGCAAAAAAGAGGACTCGAGCTATCTTTTCCCTTCTTCACTTCACTCTCGCTGTCACAGTGGGAGTGTTCAGAAGCTCCAAAAAGCCCCGTGAAGGTGCTTGTGTCTCCGCTCGTCTCTCTGTTCCATCATCCCTCCCCATCCACCTCCCTCTCCAAACAGGGCATTGTGGGCATGTGCTCTACTTGCACTGAAATTAATTCTGTTTGGGGAACATGGCGAACGGTAATGGACTTTTGTTTCTGAAGGAGCTTAATTTGCTAATTTAGTGAAGCTCTACTACACATAACCCCATCCTCTTTACAACCCCCACTCCACCCCTTCTCTCTCTTGCTATCTCTTTCAAACTCTGTCTCTCTCACATACCCACGTACACACTCACTCTCTCCCCCTCGCTGTTTCTGTTTCCCACTGCTGCAGATATGACTCAGAGAAGCTGCAGAAATTACTTTTGTGCTATTCTCTTTCTCTTCCCATCTTTGCTCACCCGCTTTTTCTCCTGCTATTAACTGAAGCACAGTTATTGTTCCCTTTTAGGTCGATTTGAATATTCTTTCATTTCGCTAATAAAGAGTGCGTATTATGTGGTCATTTTGGGGCGTTTTGAGCAGTATTTAACATCCTGTAATAACTAGCGCAGATACAACTTAGAGAAATGAACTGGCCCCAGGCGAATGTGTGGGTAAGCTCAGCTGAGCCTGTACTGACCTGCCCAAACAGTCTGTGTGATGTGATGGGAGATAATCTATTCTCTCTGGACTCACAGTGAGTTTCTAGAAGAAATACAGTGAAGCTGCAGCTGACGTTTTTTTTCAAGAACTCAAGAATCTCACTCTCCCAGTATAATTTCTATTTCAGGATACGTAGTGCATTAAACAATGTTTAATTTTGGCCCGAATTAAAATATCGCAACAGTGCTGATGATTACTGTGATGCAGTTTAGCTTGACGTAAATTTAAATGATGGATGTGTGTGTGTGTGGGAGGCAAGCGTATGTGGGTGGTGTTTTTGTGCCTTCTCGTCACCATTTTTGTGTTCATTGCTTCATACGGTGTGCAAATGAAAAATCTTTTATATTTAGTCATATGTTATTCAAGAGTCATGAAGATAGCCTACATATTTTCAAGTATCAGTGGCCCATGCCTGCATTTCATCCCCAGAGTAGACTGACCATATGACCATGGCTCTCTCTGCAGATGGTCATATTCAGCACAGTGAGGCAGTCAGGATTTTACGCTTAATACACATGCAAGGTTTAAAAAAAAAAAAAATTACAATAAATATTACACGTTAAGTTGGATTTACAATTTACATTTACATATTACATTGTGCAACAACTAGATGTGGTAACAGAAACAGCAGATATCACGTCAGCGACAGACAAAAGGGCTATGTGACAGAATAAAAACTCAAGGTTAATTGTTAGTTTACCATCTACAATAAGTTGAGCTAAAGAGTCTCAGCAGCACATTGTTATACCCCCAGACACATAACCTTGCCTCTGTCATTCATATTGCTTCCTCGTCTGCAATTATTTTTCATTCACCCTCAATCTGCATATACCATCATGCCCTGACTCTCTTTAAATGGTAAGGAGACAAATGAATAGCTGTGATGTAAAGTTTTTCACAGGAAGTGAAGTGTCCTTGGAGCGGGATTGCTGTGAGAAATATAGTTGCTGTGGAAACTGTAAACTGTAAAGCTGTGCTCAAGGCAGTTACAATATTGCATTTCCATCCACCCGTTCTCCCTCTTTCCCCCTCATCTATCCAGGGGTGGCAAAGAAACTTTGCTAAATATCCTGATCCTGGCGCAACCTTTTCACATTTTCCTTTCCATCTGGCCTCCTTGTCAGTTTGAAGCAGCCTATTATGCTTTGTTTTAAATGGCAGTTGTGTCCGGACAACAGCCGTGGTACATTAGCACAGAGATTAGCAGTCTTGCTTTGTTATTAACGAGGAGGGCAGAGTGCTAAGCCGCCTGTCCATTCACCAGTGGGTTAAACATCCCTGTGTAGCTAATTATGCCCCCCCACCAACCCTACCCCGACATGGTGTGCATCATAACACTCCCTCTACGATTCACTCTGGACTCCGTAGGTCAGCATTTAATTACCACAGGTGCACCCCCGTCTTTCCCAGCTGCTACTATAACTTTATTCATTGTCTTTCCCGTTCAAACGCAGATAAGTGGCACTTCTGAGGCGGGATGTTTGTCAAACACTTATGCACATGTTCTGTGGAGCAGAATAGGGAGACTGGTTACCGTGGGAACGCTGTGAGCTCTTCTGTGAAGAACTCTGTGGGCGAGAGACACAGAAAGGAGAGATGGGAGGGAAGAGAAGAGAGGGCAGGAGTGGGAGCAGGAGCAGGGTGAAAGACAGAAGCAGGATTGAATGACGGCTTGATGGGGATGGAAGATACGTATTGAAGACAGATGAGTGCTGCCACGTTTTATTTATCACAGGTTACAGGTTCTCTTTCATGGAGAAGTTGAGATGTGGTTTCTCTTGCCGGGAACCACAGACAATTAGTCTTGCTTTATGATCGA